CACCAGGAAACAAAGAGGGGAGAAAAAGTCTCTTGCCTCTTCGGCAGCTCCAGACTTTTTCCGGACTCCCTCCCGGCCAGCCGTGGCACACTAGCCCCTGCAGGCTGTGTTCACGCCGCCAACCCCAGTCCTCTCCCTGCGCTCCGACCGAAGCCCGAGCCTCAGCTCCCAGCCCCGCCCGCCCCGGCGGGTGAGCACACAAGCCTCTCGGGCTGGTGAGTGCCGGTCGGCCCCGATCCTCTGTGCGGGAATCTCTCCGCTCTGCCCTCCGCACCCCCGTGGCTGCGCTCTTCTGCGCGGCCCCGAAGCTTTCCCCCCCGCCTCCCGCAGTCTCCGCCCGCGAAGGGGCTTCTAGTGTGTGGAAACGTTTCCTCCTTCACAGCTCCCTTCCGCTGGTGCAGGTCCCGTCCCTTTCCTTTTGTCTCTGTTTATTCTTTTTTCTTTTGCCCTACCCAGGCACGTGGGGGGGGGGGGTTTCTGGCTTTTTGGGGGGCTTGGGTGAGGTCTTCTGCCAGCGTTCAGTAGGTGTTCTGTAGGAGTTGTTCCACATGTAGATGTATCTGTGGGGAGGAAGGTGATCTCCGCGTCTTACTCTTCCGCCATCTTGAAGCTCCTCCTTTATTTATTTTTGACCGTGTCGGGTCTTGGTTGCGGCATGCGGGATCTTTTGTTGTGGTGTGTGGGCTCTGTAGTTGCAGCACACGGGCTCTGTAGTTGTGGTGTGAGAGCTTAGCAGTTGCAGCGCATGGGCTTAGTTGCCCCGTGGCATGTGGGATCTTAGTTCCCCAACCAGGGATCGAACCTGCGTCCTCTGCATTGGAAGGCGGATTCTTAACCAATGGACCACCAGGGAAGTCCCCTAGGTGTGCTCATTTTATTTAGTTTTAATTATTTTAAAAATATTTCTTTCTTTATTTGGCTGGATCAGGTCTTAGTTGCGGCATGAAGGATCCTTAGTTGCAGCATGGGGAATCTAGTTCCCCGACCACGGATTGAATCCGGGCCCCCTGCATTGGGAGCACGGAGTCCCAACCACTGGACTACCAAGGAAGTCCCAAGGTGTGCTCATTTTAAACTCTTAATATGATGGTTGCTAATGACCATCAGTGGTAGTTACGTTATGTTGGATGTCAATGTGACAACAAATATTTGTTGAGCACCTTCCTTATCTGGGGAGGAGGGAGTGTTGCTGGATTCTTTAGACTTTTTCTAAGGACTTTGCCTGTTACTGGGAAGGTGACAGCAATCACAGGGGACGGGGCTGTGAAGGGGATGGTCAGGAGAGACCGTCCCCTCACCTCCCCTGTTTTTTCTTGCTGTAGCCAATGTGATGCACAGCTGAGTTAGTATTGGAGCTACAGGCCTTATTCTTGGATCAGGGAGGAGGCTTATCCTGTTGAGGATTATCTAAAAGGAGACTGATTGGATGACTAGACCCTTCTGGTATCTTCTGAAGGGGGCAGCGTCAGGCCTGAGTCAGCCCTGATTTCTGCTGTAGACAGGGCCGAGGCCCCCACTCCACCTATAACCTTGGCCCCCCTCTGCCCGTAGGTTTCACCCTCAGCAACCAGGTACAGCAGACCATTTCCATGCTGTATGCATGCAGCAAACTTGGCATCGACTTTGACAGCTTCCTTGCTTGTATGATCTGCCTGGAGACCCTCTTCAGTGAGTCACTCTCTCCTTTAACCCTATCTCATTTCTCCTGAGGTGCGGAGAGTGGCAGGGGGCAGGGCCAGCAAGCAGAACCAGACAGGCTTCAGAAACTGTGGCATCCTTGGGGGAGGGGAAGCAGAAACTAAAGCGGCTGAGGAAGCCCAAGCTGGCCACCCCCAAGGTGCTGCCTTCTCTGGGAGATTTAAAAAGATTGTTGTGCACCTACTACATGCAGTCACTGGGCCAAATGAATGAGTCCCAGCAACGGTCCTTAAATGGCTTTTAACATCTGTGCCTTCATGGGGATCATACTGAGAGCATGTGTCACCTCCCAGGGAGGGAATAGGGGTCTCCTTCTGGAAGCCTTTAGATGGTCTAGTGCCCCCTTGGGCTCATGCTAAGGTATCATATTAAGGGAGGGAGTTTTCCTTCCAGTGAGGGCTGGGAAGTGGTAAATTCTAACGGGGAAAGGTCAGTGACTGGATTACCCACAAATGGGGCAACCACCTCTGTTCCACGACCCCATCCCCAACCCCTGTTGAAAGAATTGCAAGTTTCTAGAGCTTCTGAGGGTGGAGATGGCAAAAGGACCTTCTCTGCTCACATCTGGAAGTTTGTCTAGTTGGGCAAGGGGACATCTGCTGTCTAAAACCCTCACCCTGGGCACTGGATCCAGATCTAGCTTTTCGGGGTCCCTGAAGCTGAGTGGGAGCTGGGAAGGGTGCAGGGGCTGGGGGAAGGTACCAGGTGGGGTGGACAGAGACAGCTCTCTGGCTGTTCCAAAGTCCAGGAACATCCCCATCTGATTTCATTCCTTCTCTGTCATTCTAGAACTGTTCAACCTTCTGGACAAGGACCAGAACGGCATTGTCCGGCTCTCTCTGGCAGAGGTAAGTGGTTTTGATAAACTGCTTGCTGATGGTACTTGAACATTCTTGGATGGTGTTGCTGCCGAGCGCTGTTAATTCACACTGACCTGTCTTATTTCCATGCGGACACAACGCATGTTCTATGGCAGGCATTGCCAGGAGGAGTGAGATTGTCATCAATCTTTCAAATATTTTTATTTATTATTATTGTTGTTGTTTTAAAGATAAAGCTACAGTTACAGATCAAATCATTTCAAGGATGCAAGCCCTTATTAATTTGGATGAAATGGTGGGTGGTAGGTACAATTTAAAGTGCCTAACCTTTAGGACCAGGCATCTTTGATTGACGTATAGAAGGATATCAGAAACAAAGAATTAAATTGCAACAAGGTAGAGTGCAGATGCAAAATAGATGGGTGTAAATTACTGTGTACAAAGCCCATAATGTCTTACGCTGACAACATCGTGCCCTTCCCCTGTGGAGGGCTGCAGCCTATGCAGCAGGGCCTTTATTGGCCTGTGGGGATGCAGGTGTGGGCATGTGCTGAGGGGCCAGGCCAGGAGGCATTGCCCTCGATCTGCTTCTCAGGCAGAGGAACTAGAGCACCATGTTATTCCTGGCCCTGCCTAGTTGTCTGGGTACAGCCACTCTTTTCTTCTCTAGAATGGGAATGTCATTGACCCCTTTCAGTGATCTAGGGACGGCCCTCCTGGAAGCATGTCTGTGGATGTCTACAAACACCCGTTCGATAGTGTTGAACCTGAAACTTTTGGAAGTCCCTTTGGGGCTAAGCTTTTCCTAAGTCACTTTTCCATGGGGCTCTGGCTCAGGGGGTCGTGACCTAGTTAGGGCTTCCTTGCTTCCTCCTGTTGACCAAGGCACTTACTGGAGGACACAGCTAGAACAAGTCATACCACGTGAGGCAGGAGAGCGCCTCTGGCACAGTCACACCAGCTCCTGAGGACCCCTGAGCTCACCCCGATCTCCTTATTTTGCAGTGGCTGTGCTGTATGTTGGTCTGACCCAGGGTTCTGGACATCGGTGATGTTCCCTACCGGCCTGCCTGCCTCTTTTCCTCCCTTTCTTTACAGTTTTGTGAACATTTATCCTCAAGGGGGCATTCACTGGTTATTCATCTCTTCCTTGCCGTTTGTTGTTCTCTGAGATCCTGGCCTGTCCCACTGGAGCAGGCCGGGGAGCCCGAGATCTCTTTCAGCAGCATTTAAGCTGATCCCAGAGCACAATGGAGAGACAGAAATTAATTAAAGTTGTGGGTCAAAATGGTTTCTGCCTTCCTCTAGTGATATGTAATCTGGGGGGTGCCCTGGGGTGTTCCTGCTTTAGAAAAGACGTTCTTGAGCGATGACACAGCCCAAAGCTGCTGAAAGATGTGAAATGTGGGTGAATTTCTTGGAGGAAAGGCCTGCTATAGATTTAACTGCCTCTGGGGACTGCCTTCAGGAAAGGAGCTGCCCCTGCCCTTCCGAGGAGGGTGCAGGGAGGGGCTGCTGGGGGGAGAGGCCTTTCTTCCTCACTTGCAGACGGGAGAAATTGCTATACTGCAGGTCAGCATGGGCTAAAGGAAAGGAAAGGATAGGAAAATTCTTGCTGAGGGGAATTCTTACCTGACAAATAGCTTGAGGGGAAATGCAGTGCAGGTTAGTTTTGCTCATGGCGGAACACAACGATCTTTGTTGTTGGTAAGAAAATAGGTGCCATAGCCTAGTGTCCTAATGGGTAGTTGGGGACAGAGCTGACTCTCATATGCAGATGTTGGAAATGAAGTGTACAGGAAGATGAGTGTCTTAGTCAGTTTGGGCTGTCTGAGCAAATACCAGAGACCAGGTGGCTTATAAAAAACAGACACATTTTTTCACAGTTCTGGAGGCTAGAAGTCCGAGATTGGAGCAGCATAGTTGGGTTCTGGAGATCTCTCTCAGACTGTAGACTTCTCATTGTGTCCTCACAGGGTGGAGAGCAGAGGGGAAGCAAGCTCTCTCATGATTCTTGGAAGAACACTAATCCCATTCATGAGGGCCCCACCCTCGTGACCTATCTAACCCTAATTAGCCCCCCCCCCCCCCCCCCCCCCCCCCCTTTTTCTGTTTGAGTCTCATTCATCTTTTCAACCCCCCGTCCCACCTCCTGATACCACCACAATGGGGGGTGTGGTTTCAACGTATGAATTTGAAGGGGATACAACCATTCAGCCCATAGCTGTGACCTACTGGAGAGAAAACACACATTTATGCCTTGGCCTCTGTATTAGTCTGATTAAAGATTAATTTTTGACCTCCAGAAGTAGAGCTGGATGAATGTTCCTTATAGGAACATGATTTATAAGTATGGTATAACACCTGTCAGCTTGTTTTTTTTTTGAAGTATAGTTGATTTACAATATTGTGTTAGTTTCATGTGTAGAGCAAAGTGATTTAGTTATATATATATATTTTTTCAGATTATTTTCCATTATAAGTTATTATAAGATATTGAATATAGTTCCCTGTGCTAAACAGTAGGACCTTGTTTATCCATTCTATATATAATAGTTTGCATCTGCTAACTTCAGTCTCCCAATCTATCCCTCCCCCTCCTCCCCCTTGGCAACCACAAGTCTGTTCTCTATGTCTGGGAGTCTGTATCTGTTTTGTAAATAGGTTCATTTGGGTCATATTTTAGATTCCAAATGTAAGTGATATCATATGGTATTTGTCTTTCTCTTTCTGACTTACTTCACTCAGTATGATAATCTCTGATTGCATCCATGTGGCTGCAAATGGCATTATTTTGTTCTTTTTATGGCTGAGTAGTATTCCATTGTGTGTGTGTGTGTGTGTGTGTGTGTGTGTGTGTGTGTGTGTGTGTATAAAACACATCTTCTTTATCCATTCATCTGTTGATGGACACTTAGTTTGTTTCCATGTCTTGGCTCTTGTAAATAGTGCTGCTATAAACATTGGGGTGCATGTATCTTTTTGAATTAATGTTTTCTTTTTCTTCCTGGATATATATCCAGGAGTGGGGTTGCTGGATCATATGGTAGCTCTATTTTTAGTTTTTTAAGGATCTTTCCATAGTGGCTGCACCAATTTACATTCCCAGTGTAAGAAGATTCCCTTTTCTCCACACCCTCTCTAGCATTTATTATTTGTAGACTTTTTGTTGATGGCCATTCTGACTGAACACCAGTCCACTTGAATGCTGTCTTCAACTCTCCCAAGGCCCAGCGGGGAGAAGGGGTAGGCCCTTAACTGAAGGGGGCTGTGGGAGCTCTGGGATCTCACCCCTCAGGGAAAGGCTTTGGGACGGCACCCCTGCAGGGAAAGCTCACTCACCGGAGGATGGAGAAGGAGCTGTATTTGTTTGGCAGCCTGTGGGTCCCAGAAGAAAAGAGGTCCTTCCACGTGTAGCCAGAAGTATGAGGGAGCTTTCATCACCTGGGTCATCTGCAGGACCCAGCAGGTGTATGTCCAGCTGCCCTCAGGCTGCCTGGGGATACCACCCAGCCTGCCCCTGTTGGCCCAGGTGGTGTTAGGTACAAGTCCCTGACCCACCCCGTTGTTTAAAAATAAAGTACTACAAAGCAGTTCTCCTTTACTTTTCGAATATAGCATGGCTGCCTAAGTTGAAAGGACTGTGTTATAATCAGCTGGCAGCAGGTAGTTTTATTTTTCAGGCCTACAAGCTCCTTCAGGGAATAGTCTCGTAAGCAAAAGAACCAAACCAAACAGAAAAACCCAAAAAACAGTTTAGTTACAAAATAGATTTGCTTTGGGGGTCCCAGTCCCAGGGAAGTGTCCTGGGGACTTCTTACCAGTACAGCCTGTGAGGCCAGCTAAGGATCTTAACACTGCATAGCTTTCCTCTTAAACACCTGAGAGTTTGCTGTATGCTCCTTTCTGCACCCTGAATTAAGGCAGCAGAGGTGCTGCTTTTTGGTGTGGCCTCTTCGTCGCCCCTCTATGTGGCTGCATCTCAGGAAAGATCAGCCTCTGCCGGATGGTGGCTCCTCAGTGTGGATTCCCCAGGGAGGCTCTTGCGCTTCCCCGGCCAAGCCCTCCCCCACGTTATTGCGTTAACGTGTTTCATGTCTTCTCTGTTCCTGTGGACAGTCTGTGAATGCAGTGTTCCTAATTCCTCCAGAGCCTAGAACAGTGCCTGGCACAGAGTAGGCGCTCAGTGCATGAAACCCGTGTCCTTTCCTTTGCACATGAGGAAGTTCTGCAGCACTTGGGCCCCACTTTGTTTTCCCAGTAGAGAGGATGGGTTTGCACTGGTCCCTCACAGCAATTTCCTGCAGCCCCAGAGGGGAACTGCTGATGTTTGGATGCGTTACAGCCAGCCTCCGTGGGCGGGTGAAGGGCTGGAGTGGGGGATGGCGAGAAGATGTGTCCCCTGCAGGGCCCCCTGCTGAGCTGCCCCGTCCCCAGGCTCCTTCCCACCCCATGCCAGGAGCCGAGGTAGCCATTGCGTCCCGCGTCGGCGGGTCTTTGATTTGTGCAGAGAATCCTTGGAGGCTCTCGGCTTCCCCAGTTTCTGGAAGGAGAGGGAAGCAGCTCGGCAGGAGGCTTGAGGCAGCTATGGGGGTCAGGGTGAGCCTCCTTCTCTTCCTCTCCATCCTCCCTCGCCTGCAGAGCCCCGTCACTTCTCTTAAAGGCCGAGCTTGAAACAAGCTCATTAGTAAACGCAAGGACACGCATGCCACCATGCCACCCCCAGACGCAACTGAGGCCTCCGGGAGCATGGAACCTGACACTGGTGGGAGGCGGTCAGGGTGTATAGACTATGCCGGGTAATTCCACACCAGCAAGGCCACCTCTAGCCAGTCCCCTTTCCCGTGAGAGCTTCGAGTCACGCAGTATTAGCTTTCTGCTCACGTCGCCGGCCGAAGCAGGGCTTTCGGTAATTATGCACAGTCACAGAAGCCTCGTTGATCAGGGCTGGGAGAAGCCGGTGGCCCTGCCACACGCAGCAGGGGGCTCTTCCCGCCAAGGTCCCGACGGCGTCCTATGCGTCCTGCCCGGGGTGCAGCTGGAAGAGGCCTCCGCCCTGCTCGGGGCTCCCCTCCATTCCTCACCGCCTCTCTAAAGCCAGCTGCTCCTCCGGGCTGGGGCAGCGGGGCACACAGCAAAGTCCTGCATCAGCTGTTCTCGCTCTGCCACGTAGGCTGACTTCTTGCCTCTAACTCCAAGCCTCACGGCTGCAGCCTCTCAGATGCCCAGCATCTTTTTTTTTTTTTTTTTTTTTTTTTTG